CTCGAAAAGAAGAAAACAATTATTAGCAAAGAACTAAGAAAGCAACATGGGTGGGAGGAGAGAGGTCTCTGACCTCTCTTTGAGCAGCTTGTCTGGAAACAAGAACCTCTGAATGAGATGGAAGATGTCCCAGTAGTGGAGTGGAGACCTAAGAGGGCTTTGTTGCTGGCCATGAGAAAGCAAAGGGAGGCAGAGGTCTGTCTGGTCTCACAGCAGCGGGAGGAAGGTGGGTGGGGCTGGGGGAGGAGCACTGGGAGGGCCCCAGGGGAGCACCTTAGCATATCACTAGTGTTATGGTGTGTGTGTGCGTGTGTCTCCAAATCCTCATGCAGTCATGGGGTGGGCTTCTAAATTTTATGATTGATTCATGGGTATGAGTGCTACACTGCCCTGTGGCAGGTAGTTTGTAAACAGTATAAGGGAGGGAAAGAGGCTGCTTACTACTGCTCCTCCCTTTTGCTCTTATTGCTTTTGCTATTTTCTGCCGCCATGAACTGTTGCCCTCTGCCATGTGCCACCCTGCCTTGGAGCCAGCAGAGCATGGACTGAAACCTCCACAAACAGTGAGCTAAATAAACCTTTCCTTCCTTAATTTTGGGTGTCAGGTATTTTGTCTCAGCAATGAGAGAAAAGTAACCAAGACAACTAGGCAATGGGAGCAGTAGGGAAGCAGCAACAGAAAACCATCTCCTGGCCCACCCTTGATCTGGCCATTTCCGGTTCTGTGCTATTATTACCCTCTTTCTGGCTCCCAGGCCTTGAGTAAAAGTCTGCAAACAGAAATTCTTTGTGAACAGTCAGTGAAAGAGAAAGGGTGTTGCCAGCCTGCGCAGAGGGGCAGTGAGGTGGGGAAGGAAACACAGAACTGCTACTGTGGTGTGTGCACCGGTGTATGTGTGTGTGTGTGTGTGTGTGTGTGTGTGTGTGTGTGTGCAGGTACGTGCAGGTGTGTGCAGGTGTGACCACAGAACTGAACATACTTTACTTGGAGTCTGCTTTAACAAAGCTGAAATTAAGACATCATAAAATCTTTTTTTTTTTCCTGGTATAATTTTCTGAACAGATACTGCATATATCAACGGTTCAAAAAAGACTATCAAATGACAGCAGGGAGAATCTTCCCACATTCATCCCTTGATCCATCCACTTCCTATAGGAAACCAATTTCTGCAAAGAATACTTTACTATCTGGCAAGAAAAGCATATGTAAAACCATGTTCTAATTTGCATTAGTGATACATACTGTGTGGATTACCACAAGGTACTTTTCTCACTTAATTGACAACATATCTTTTCCCAACAGCCCAGAAGAGGATTCTCATCTTTCCCCTCTGTCTCATGATATTCCTTTAAATAAAGGTATGAGAATTCATTCAAACAGTCCTGAGCTGAGGGGGCTAGGTTGTTTTTAAACTTTTGCTGCTTTTAAAAAAACAGTGAAGTGAATAAGACACGATACAGGTTAAGTATCTCTAATCCAAAAATCTGAAATTTATAATGATCCAAAATGCAAAACTTTTTGGGTTTTGGATTTTCAGGTTAGTCTATGCAAATATTTCGATATCCACCAAACAAAAAATCTTTCAAATCTGAAATAACCCTAAACCCAAGTATTTTAGATAAGGGATTCTCATATATATAATATTATCCAGGCTGGTCTCAAACTCACAGGCTAAAGCAATCCTTCCAACTCAGCCTCTCAGGTAGCTGGAACTGCCGGCTCTTACTGCCATGCCCATCTTTAGCATGTATATTCTTAACTGGATTTGTTATATGAAGGCTATAGATGATTTCTCACCAGTCAAACATAACTGAAATTTACTATGGCAAACCACAGCTATTTAAAAAGGATGTCCAGTTGAAAACATTGTCATGCAGTATTTGATTTTGTAGGATATATTGGTAAGAAAGTTTAGTTTTTATTGCTAGCTACAGCGATATATTTCAAAAACCAATCATGTAAAGACTAAGTGAGTGACTTCTAGCACTCACTGATTCAGGGTGGCCAATACCAGGAGTGTTTACTTAAAACTGTAAGGGCAGTCATGACAGAACACATCCGGCACTCAGCAGATTTACAAATCAATGAACTGGAATTAGGAAGCATTGGTTTGACTTCCACTCTGTCACTGCAAACACCTTGATAAAATAGAGAGGGGGATTTCTGCCCTATGATCCTGGCACAGTTGTTCTGAAGATAAAGTTGGAAATAATTTCACATACATGAAATCCGCCCATGAACTTGAATGCCTGAACCTGTGTTGAATCCTGTGGTTATTTTTATATTTTTTACAGTGCCATCGTTGAAGGTCAGTCCATAATCCACCTGTGGAATAAATTCTAAAATATATTTCATATAAGAAATTACACTGGACATGATCATTTTAATTAAGTGCACCAAAGAGTGGCCACTATGTATCATAATGTGTTTTTAAAACCACTTAAAGAGAATCAGGAAGGAAACAGATTGCTATTGGCCAAACACTCCCACTTCTTTTTCTTTTTTTGAGCCTTCCCATCTCTCCATCTCAGCTACAGTTGTTAAAGTCAAGTTTACTGCTAACAATCTTGAGATGCAATAAATATGGGAACCACGCAAATCTGGAGGTAATGCCTTTTTGCCAATCAGCGCTGTTAATGTTCTTGGATTCACAGATAATATAATCTCTCTGGATTCACTTGGAATTGATCAATAAAGCGAATGAGTGATCAACATTTGAGCACTTTGGAAACAGAAACACCGGTATGTCTGTGTTTGAGAAATGCTGAGAAACTACCCAATTCACTCATTAAAATCTTCAAGAACCATCATGACCGAAGCAAACAAGTACCCCGGGCTGTTCTCAGTCAATCCATTCAAGTGTCCATTCCCTCTTTTCTAGTCCCTGCCTCCATGGCAACAGGCCACTGACCTGCCCCAAAGGGAGACAGAATCTCTGGCAAGGCTGAGAGTTTTAATAATTCCACTTGTCAAGGCAGGTCAGAGAGAAATGGATGGATTCCTACCAAGTTACTTAACAAACTACTAACAAAATGAGTGGCCGCCAGCACATGACCAGGTCCAGTGCCCAGAGTATTCCTCAGGAACGCCAAGCATCACATTGTTACAGTCCAAGAAAATCTGCACCCCTGACACCTGTCTGTCAAATTATTTGCTGAGTTAGGACTTCTTTCTGCAATATTTTCCTTACTTACCCTTTCCCCAAAAGGTAAAAGTACAGTATACTGGGTAGCTTATTCAATGGGACTATTAATTTGGTTACTCTTTCTCCCAAATTTATTTTAATAAATAAATACAAAAGATCTATAGAAAAGGACATATTTTGTTGCACTAGTTTCCTGATGAGAAACCTTCCGGAAGTATCAGTTTCTATTGCCCAAACTTCCCCTTTGAGGAAGACAAGGATCTAGAAGCAACAGCTCTGACACACAGGATCCACACTCTCATCCCTGACACCTAAGAGCCCGGTCCTTGCTTCTCTCCTCTCTCCTCCCGGGCGCATCCTAATACACAGCCTGTCCTTTATGAGACTGCCTATTTGGTGGCCCTGCCTTCTGATTTAGAAATATAAACACCGCTTCAGAGATTTATTTCCCAATTCATCTTCCGATTTGTCATGGCCTGGAAGGTCAGCTTCCAGATTTTCTATTCTAAATTACTTTTGAACAGATTTCCCAAACAGACTAAGAAATGGCTTTTGTCTGGATGAGAACAAATTCTGAACATTAGGACTCAAGTTCTCTTTCTGTCTCTTCTGTCAAAATGTAAACCAACTGCCAACCCTACAAGTTTCCAAATCAATTATTCGTAAACGAATACACAGGTGCAGTGGAGACACTGGAGTTATAAAAAGAAAATGGCAAATTATTTTATCATGGGCCAGTAGCTCAACCGAGGTGATCCTGGGGAAGGTTCTTCTTAGCTCTGCAGCCCAATTAGCAAATCAACTGACCCCATCCCTTTCTCTGCCACCAGGACCAAGCTGCCACCCTCCACCCTCTGTCTCCGTCTCGGGGCTCTCTGATGAGTCACCATGGCCCAATCAGTCAGCCTGCAGTTCTTATGCTTTCCACCAGCCTTGGTCAACAGGGGGTCTGCTTCAGTTTAATCAAGGATTAGCAACCACAGAAGAAGCAGAGCACCTCATTCTGCTCGCACTTATTTGTCTCTGTCCCCATGTATTCTTGCTTGCCTTAGCAGTGGGGCTCAGCAAGACTCAGTAGGGGCTGATAGTGTGGCTGGCTGTCACTTTCTTTCAGTGGGAAGGAGATATGACCAGGCAAAGCAGATGGTTCTTGAAGGGGTACTTCCTAAAAATCTGCTTAGCAAACTGTAGCATTGCCTTTCAAGCAGACAGCAGCTTACTGGAGAGGAAAATCAGATCTCCGTTGCCATATTGTGCCATGACACACTCAGCTTGCACACTCACCTACTTAAGAGTTTGCTAATCCTTGGCAAGGCGCAGTAATGCTTTGTGGGGGCAAGGAGCAGCCCGCCTTTCTAAGCATTGCAGAGATAGTCATTGTTACCACTAAAGCTCCCAAATCTGTCAGTCAAGTCATTGTCTAAGGCAGGCCACCTTCAGTGGGCCGCTAACCTGTGGGTAAATAGACTAGCTGGGTGGAATTAGAGATGGGGCCAGTGACACTTCAAATGGCAATTAAAAACACATCTCACCATCAAACGCTCATAGAGTGTTTTTCTCTCAAAACTCCAGATCAATCCATAAATGATTTTTGTTGACTGACTTTTATAGGCCTGGAAAAATAATCATGTACCATTTTGGGGCCTTGGGTTCCTTAGGTGTAAAATGAGGATGTTGAACTCCTCATTTCTAAGGTTCCTTTGGGCACCCAGTTCTATAGGTTTGTGGTTGGGGATGGGTCACCTTCAACATTTTGGCAAATCACATCTACCACTGAGCACCTTGTTATTCAGCACTAGCTGAAAACAGAGAGGCTGCTGCCCCTCCTCCACCTTCTCCCCTCCACTGGCTCACCTTCTCCACTGGCGTGTGCTCTTCATTTGTGACGCTTGTTTTTCTTGACTCATTTTTAGACCTGCTCAGCCGTCTGGATACCTTTTCTCTGAGTAAAGTGGCATATCCAATGTGTTCATAGATGGGGTTCGTTGTCATTTTTGAAATGTATTCAGCAGCTTTTGTTTCTATGTACAATGTGATCAAGCCATCTGTCACCAAATCGTGAATGGATTCAAACCTCTTTTCACCCACGAAGTGTTTCCCATCGTGGAACAGCCGGTAGTTTAAGGTCTGGTTTCCAAACCTGCCCACAAGAGATCAAGGGAGTACAACAGATTAGACTCAGAATGGGGAGGACCAGTAACAGCTCTGAGCACATGTCCTAGGCCAGGCACAGGGTAACCACCTGAGGACTGTCTGAGAGACCCTTTGCAATGGGTACAATTACAATCCCTGTTTTACAGCAGAGGCAACTGAGGCTTAAAGAGTTGAGGAAACCAGCTGGAGTCACACGTCTGCAATGAGACAGAGGTGGGACTTAACCCCAGGCAGTCCTTTAGAGTCACTGGGTTCTATAAATCACTCAGGTCACTGGGTCATAGCATTCTTATTTGTAAAAGTCAAAAGGTATTGCCTGATTTACAAATATCTCACCTACAGATTTCCTTAATGGGAACCACTGCAAGAGATGCCACTACTGGTGACCCTAAAGCCCCTGATCACATCAGTGGAGCACCCCATTCCTGCCAGTGCAGTTAGTGCAGCAGAAAGAAACACTGCAGCTGTGCTAAGTACCACTACCACCTGCCTGCAGCAATCCCCATCCCCGAGTCCTCTTCTCTTATCCCTGGCTCTCCCCTGTGGACCCTGCCCTGCATCTCACAGCCTCCTCACTGGGACTGCCAGCTCCTGTTGCTGGGGAGCTGGGAAGATAGAACTTTGGATACTCAGAGTACTCAATAGCTTTTGAAGTACTTCTTCATCATCACATAATTTAAGATACGTCCTAGACATGGCCAGTTGCAACTTGGAAAGTTTCTTTCCAAGGTCACAATATTGAAATGGTGCACTGACCAATATCTCTCTGTGGGCTGACCTGGGAGGCGTTTCCCCGCTTCCATCCCTCCTATGGAGAAAGGTCTTCCTGATTCTGGAATCTGCAAATGAACTTTTGGAAGACAACCTGGTTCTGAAACTGGATACCTACCCAAACCTAAATAGGATTGTGGTAATAATTAAATGGGATAAAATGTTTGATCAAGGTACAGAAAGTGCAATGAATGCAATGTCCTTCTTTCAGCAGGGAGGCTGATGGGGGAGGAACACAGGATCGAACCCAGTTAGGGCAACTTAGTGACTTAGTAAGACCCTGACTCAAAATAAAAAGTTAAAACTCAATGAGGGATGTAGCTCAGTATGAAAGCCAAGGGTTCAATCTCCATTAACAAAAACAAACAAACCAACAAACAAACAAAGGCCTTTCCATACTTGCGCTTGCCAGTGAGAGGCTCTGGAGAAACCTGCTGGGCAGGTTCCTTGGCAAAGTTCTATCCTCCCAGCACCCCAGCCACAGAAGCTGCAAGGTGATCGCCATCATGAGGAGGCAGGTCAAGCCACCTCTGAGAGAACAGGATGGACAAGCAATGCCCAGAGGGTCTTGCCAGGTGTACCCATGGAAGACAATGGGAAGGGACCCTTGTTCAAAAGGGCTGCTGGAAACAGAGAGAGGAGAGACATGGCTCTGTCAAGTAGCTCCATGTGCTAGGCAGAAGCAGCCGAAGGAACACAAACTTCCCCAATAATTCTCCAGTGTGCCCTGGGTCCACATACACAGCCCATGTCTGACAACCTAATAACACCAGTGGCCAAGGAGATGCATACATGCACAGCTCATGTGCTGCTGGGGCTTTGGAAAAAAAGTGAAATAAAAGTAAATAGTAGAGAGGGAGTGATTGTCTGTAGGTACTAAGTTTCTGTTGAGGTGATAAGAAAGTTCTGGAAATGGATAGTGAAGATGGCTGTGCAACACTGAGAATGTTACTTCATGCCAGTGAACTGTATACTTACAATGGTAGAAATACTAATTTCATTATATATGTATATGTATATGTATAACTCTCTTACCAGGAGTGGGGTAAACATAAGTAAAGACATGAAAACAGTGAATGAACTGCAGCACACCTCAGGGCTAATGTGTAGCATCCTGGTTGCCGCTGGCTTTCTCGAAGGATGTAGGCACCCTCCACGCCTCCTAGAAGCTCATCCGCCTGCTCCCGGGAGATGATCCCATGAAACCTGGGGAAACAACACCATCACAGACACATACAAAGTAGGACCTCAGGAGCTGGGCTGAAAAGGATGGCTGGGCCACCCTGAATCTACAGCCACACCTGGGGAAAGGGGCTGTGACTACTGTGCATCTTACGGACTGATTTGGAACCAAGGTGCTCCAAACAGATAAATGTCCACAGAGGCAAACACAGGCAGAACTCAGGCCACCTGGTTTTCTGCTATTGCCTTTGCTCTCAAGCTGACAAAGGAAGGTGAAAGAAAAAGCCAGGTTATGGCTTCTTTTATAACCGTGGGGAAAAAAACAAAAAGAGCAATTACCAATTTAGCTCTCAGCTCAAACACAGATAATTATGTATTATCCTGATTGCAAATGAACACTTATTGATTAGAGACCTGTTTGCTTCAGGTGTGGGGTGTTAATTTTAGAGGCTCATCTTCTGGAAAGAAGAGCTGGCAGTAATCAACCTTTCCCCAATCCTTTATATTTTGAGAACAATGGCTTAGGGACATGTTTGGGAAATGCACCTATTTTTCTTCGTTAAAGATAATATCTATCTTCTTTGCGCTACCACCTTAAAAGTAATACACAAGCACATAGAAAGCATGGCAGATTTAGGAGGCTTTCAGGCTTGGCTTAAGACTGCTTTGACCTTCTAGAGGAGGTTGTCTGAGGCTTAGAGAATGTACAGTGATCAGGGAGGTCAAGGAAGAGATAGGAGCTAGATCAGGTTCCACCTACTTCCCCTGTTCCCTTTAGGCAAGGAGGGCTGCTCACCACCCTTATTGGAGATTTGATCCACCCATGTTTTTACAGAAAGATGGGCTGGGATGAGGTCAGTGTGGGAAACTCCAAGTCCTTGAGAAAAGCGACATGGGACACTAGGTCTTTTTAGGAGAATAAGTCAGAAAGAATTTTTCTAGATGCACCCCCATGTGTACCTTCTTGGAACGGGGAAGGAGAAAGGGAAGTCAACCAGACAAGTTTTGCTTTCTTCACCCGCAGGAGGACAACAATTAGGTTAGAGGACGAACATAGAAAGACCATATTTGGAAAAAAATAGCCCAGTAGAATCTATATTTCTTCAGTTCTTCTATCTTTTAAAAGTAGATGTTTTTGGTCTAGGGAAGGGAGGCCAGAGGAGCTGTGCCTGTTCCCAAAACTACCTCAAGTCTGAGGTTACGACAGCCCAGGAGGAAGGTGCTTTCTGGCTTCCCAAATTTTGGTTTTAAATCTCAAAAGCCAGTGCCTGCAGGTCTGGGAGCAGGATTTTTCTGGAGTGAAGATGTGTGTGCTATGATATGAGAGCGACACTTGGGCCCAGAAGGAGACCAGTGTCCCCCCCGGTGTTCCAGGGAGGGAGAGGCACAGGGGTTTGGCAGAACACAAGCCTTGCTCAAGTGGGTCCCGCAAGCACTTACGGGACTGGAACTGCTGCGTCGGTTCACAGGGCTGGTGGCGCAGAGGGTCTGGAGCTTTCCTGGGAATAAGGACACTGAGTTCTACAAACCTTGTGGAGAAACCTCCTGTTTGGCAGGAGCAGGGGCAGAGAGGGCTGGAGAGCGCCTGGGCAAGTGACCTGAGGACTGCCTTGCATGGGAGTGGGGTCGGGAGGCCAGCAGCAGCAGAGGGCACCGGAAAGTTTTCCACACAACAGCCAAGAAGCACAAAAACCGGCGTCAGAAGAGGTGTGAGAAGGGGCTGTTTAGGACGCTCCTGACCAGTGAGGCAGGAGAGCGTGGGCACAGAGGGACGAGGCACGCCTGGATATTTAGCACCTGCTCCAGGTCACTCCTGCATAGAAAGCTAGGAGAAAGGGACAGAAGAGTACCCCAAACAGGCAGCCACTGTGAGAGATGAGAGATGCTGAATGTAAATGCCCTTGAATTGCCAAGTTTACTGTCAAATTGGCAGTAGCAGAGAGTGTCAAGAACTAAGTTAAATCCAATTTTTCAGAAGAAGAAAGTGGCAGCTTTGTGTCCTTGAAGAACCAGTCTGTGGCTCATCACTACCTTTATGTATAGTTTTTAAAACTCTGCACATCTATAATCATATGGTGAACCAGAAAGAAACAAATACAGGAAAAAAAAAGGTAATAATGGTTCTTTTCTCTTTCATGGTGGGGAGCTATGGGTGTTTTTCACCATGCATTTTCCTGTATTTTTAATTTTTCCCAAGTTAGCAGGTATTCATATTATTCATACATTACACTTTACAAAAGTGAGAGTAATGCCTATGCACAGTGGGAAAATTCAATATTTAAATGTTAAAGATACAAAAGAAGTAAAAATGTAAGTAGTACAGAGGTAAAAATTCCCTTTGCCTAAAGGAATGCAGTGTCAACACTTTCTTGTGCTTGCTTCACAAGAAATGTGCATGTGCCTCTTCTGAACAGAGCAGGTATTACTTCATGAGTGGAAGAGCAAAGCCCTTTATTTTTTAAAAAAGAGACAGAAACACAGAATCTGAAGGTTTTACACTAACTATTCTCTACTACAAAATGTTCCTTTTAGTACATAAGAAAAAGTTTCCTTGGGTTCTACTCTGTATATAATCTTCATGAACTATGGGTTGGAATATGAGAACTAAAAGTTATTCAACCGAACTTTTATGCAGAAAAGAATATGTAAAACAGATTACCTTTTGGAAGTCAAAGTATATTGGGCAGGTGTTCATTTTCTTTTTTTCTTTTTAGTAGTTGTGCTATTTGCAAGCAATAGCACAACTAATAAATCAGTATATTGAGAAAGAAAACCATGCCACAGCCTAGGTTGAGGCCCTGGGGACATGGGGGTAGATGAGAGATAGGCCAGCATTCCTGGACAGGTATTCCAGAGGGACCAGCTGAATTCCTGAAGCCCCGCATGGAAGGTTCTAAAATGCAGCTGCAGCAATTAGAAAGGAGCATTGGGCTGGGGCCACTAAAAGGGTCATTAATCACAAAGAGGAGGCTTTGATGGGTAACGGAGTAGGAGGATAAAGGTCTTAGATTGGCTGGGGCAGCCTGGAAGGTGGCCTTGAAAGAGCCTTTGGCTCCTTCTGCCTCAGGTTGGAGATGGGGAGAAAAGTGACTTGGAACTCTATTGTGGACCATTCCGCCTCTCTCTCTGTCTCTCTCTGTCTCTCTCTCTCTCTCTGTCTCTCTCTCTCTCTGTTTCTGTCTCTCTGTGTCTCTGTCTTCCCCTCTTTCTCTCTCTCTGTAAGGTGTCATACATGTCAGAGTTAAATTGCAAACTGTTTTTATGGTCATGCGTATCTCTAGGTTCCTGAGCAAGTGAAACAAAGCAGGGGTTGGAGTTAAGAGAAAAAAAAGGAGGGATGGAGAATAATGATGGGATTAAGACAACTTGGTTCAGGAAAAATCAGCATTTTGGCTTTATGAGACTGCAGAAAAATGAGGTGCCTTTCCTGACCACCGTGTTCACGAAGTACAGCATGGTCAGGAACTCAGCTACCATGCATAGCGTTGACACTGTAAAGGTTTAATTGTATCAAGGTAGAGAGTGGAATAATATGCTAACAGAGAGTCTCAGTTGTGAAAAACACCACCTTACATTTCAAGTACTTGCCAGGCACTCAGAAACTGCTTATGTAGAGAGCATAAGCGCAGAAACACTTTCCCTCCCACCTTAATGGAAAACAAGCACCTGAGTGTTACATGGAATATCCGATACAAAGGAGTCTGATTGCATTATTCTTATCATTAAACTCTAGCACAATGGACATGTGATGAAGACCATATTTTAGAGAATTTTGAATATTTAATATTTAAATGACATATGAAGCGACTACTTATTAGATTATTAAAACAAAGAATAGTATAATACATACTCTCTTCCATAATATTTTGGTCTGTTTTCCACCTATATTAAAAAGAAGAAAAGTATTAATAATGCATTTGAATTCAAATAAGCTAGATCAAAATGCTATTTAAATAAACAGAGCTGGAGTCCCAGTAGTAATTTTATTACAGATTTCATTCTCCAAATCAGAAATCCATGAAACTATGGAGTTAATCAACACATTCTCCTGTCTTGAGGAGGAATGATCTAGACTTATTACATTTCTCTACTCATTAGGCGCACTTTCCACCTAAACCCAATCACCCAGTAAAATAATTTTCAAGGGACACAAAGTGATGCTTATTTTCATATTAAGCACAAGACAAATACTTCCAGCATGATTAAAATATAAGCATTTATTTCAATCTTCATCTAATTGTTTTGTTATGTATTTATTTCAAAAAATGAGCAGTACACATGGATTACAACATGAAACAAACTTAATCTGGCATCTTTCCAAATAAAATGGATATTATTTTTAAACAAATGCTAATAGGCTGAAATTCATTTGACATTAGAGTCACAGGATATGAAGGAAAAGATTTATGACATTAAAAATCTCAAAGTTTCAAAAAAGTCACTTCAATCAGGGCTTTAGCCTTAGGGTTATCTTTCAGATTTTGAGCACGTATATGATAATGTACTTTCACAGTAACTTAGTTTCCTTATGTTTATGGTATTGGAGTTGGTGAGGAATTAACATGAATTTTCATGTGTAGCTTTCTTTTCCCTACTCTAACTCCAGGCACACTCAAAATATAGTTGGGACACATTAAGGTTTTTATTGATAGCTGAAGGTACGATAGCAAGTTTATGTTTATTCATTGGAGTGGAATATGAGCCTGGTGACAATTCTGTCTGCTGTCATCCCTCTCTACAGTCAGATTGGCTGTTTTCTCTTTAGGGTTCACACACAGGCACGGTTGTGGGTTTCAAGGCACTGACATCTTCCTGGCTCACAGGAAAATGCTTACAGGATGCAGGGCTCTAAGTGTGCTTAGGATGCTGTGGCCCAGAGGAAAAGCTCAGAGAGATGCTTGGGCTGTGAGGACCACATTCACAAGTCTGCCTAGGATAAGCCTCGCTGGCACAAGACTAATCATCTAGACGCTTATAAATATGTGTTCACTCTTCTGTACATTTTACACCTGAAAGCACTCAACCAAGAGGGGCGTTCATAATTCTCAGTCTTCAAGGTTTGGAGCCTGCTCAATGTCTTTGTGAAGGAAGATTTAAATACTATCATTAACAGAAGCACGAAGTGTGCAAAAGGTACCTTATTATCTGATGTCTTTTCTATAACTGATGTGTTCTGTTGCTCTACATACCAGTAAGCTTTTTAATGAGTTGAGTATTTTGTCGTTTATATCTTTCCATTGGCTTTCACAGTTCTGTCTTTTATAATACTACTGATATGCAATTGTAACACTAATATGCCTGAGAAACAATTTAAAATTAGGAACTCCAAAGGAAGTACACAATATGTAATTACAAGATCTCTCCCCATTCTTGAAGACCCAATATTCCAAAATTTGAAATGATTCCCTTCATAGAAGGATAATTGTTTATTCCCACTTTTTAGGACAGTCCATAACACCAGTTTGCAAAATTTGCATGTACCTTCTAGCCCTGTTCTCTTTCTGTATCCTATTTTTTGTCCAAAGCAGGAAGAGTAATTTGTCTAGCTTCCCAGGTAGATAGTAAGGTACATGAAGCCTGCTGCTAACTTCTGGAGTGCAGATTGCAGGTGGTTAATAAATGCTGAATTTAATTGACTTGTAACAAGACAACAAATTGCTTTAAGTTCATTCATCAATCATAAAAAAAAATAGAGCACACTTACTAGGTTACTGGCTCTATGCTCAGCCCTGTCACTGTTCATAGAATAATGGCCTTAAAGGAGCAAGAAGGATATCTATGAGGAGCTCAGGGGGTTCTGCACTTGCAACAGGAGAAAAATACACATAAGAATAAGCCTAACAGAGACTCCAAAGTAGGAAGGTAAATGTTATGGTGTCATGAGGGATACCAAATACAATCCTGTCCAGAGGAGACTTCGATCCAATTGAGGGACAAATCTCCTTTGTAAAGAAAACCACTAGAAAATAAAACAAGAAGACTGTCATGTAGGACAGAGCACACACAGAATAGAGTCATGGAAGAGGCCCTAAATATTGCCAGAAACATTACTGATTTATCATTTTCTTTTGACCTGAAATCATATAACTAATTACAGAGTCCTGGCTTTTCTTTTTATCTAACTGGGCAACTCTACATAAGAGAAGAGGACACATGGAAATAAGGTGGGGTGGGAGGAGACAGAGGGTGTGGTCAGATATCTGACCACTGATCGAAGCTGCTTTGACAGCAAGCTGATTCAACATCTTTCCCTTTGTTGTATTTGTTGCTCTTATAGAAAATACAGTTGACTTTGGTAACATTAAAGAGAGAAAGGGAATGTCTGGCATAAAAACCCAAACCAAATCAAACCCTTTTTCTTTTTATAAACTTTTTTGCTCACTGGAATCTAGACACAGCCTCTATCTCTACACTTCACTAACCTTTAAACCAGCTGAGAGTTTAATTTTTAAGTTAAATGACCTGGAAAAAGCATAAGACATCCACATTTCTTCAAGTTGGATAGGACTGGACCTTGAGCTAGACAAAACCCAGGCGACTAAGTGTCAGGGCTCCACAGGACAAAGTACCTGCCTGGAGGGACTCGGACCCACCACACGGGGACCCAGCTGTGCCTTACAGAGCTCAGTCCACTTCCTCCCCAGGCAGAGCTCTGTGTCAGCCAGCCACGGGATTCAGGCCCAGCTGTGAGACGTGGATTTGTTTTATTACTGAAGCTGTAACACTGAATTTTAGTTTTCAATGAGATTGCCTTCAGTGAATATGACTGAGACAGAAGACTGCTGATAAATAAAACGTAGGGCACTCAGATAGCTTCCCCGTTGAGAGTTATTAAAATCTGGCAAATTGATCAAATAATAGAGGATGACTGTAGGTGGTCACATGGATTCAGGGAAGGTTAGAACATGTAGCAACATGTAACAAGGTTGTTTCTGGAGCTCTCTGGCTGCTGTGAATGTCCTAGGACAGTAGCTTGGGCCTCTTTGGTGCCCTTGACCTTTGTGGATAAGATTCAGAGACACAGGCTCTGCTTGCTCTGGAGAATTAGTGCTCCAGTTCCAAGAAGTGAAAGAAATCTATCCTTTTTGAAGAAAAAGGAACATGTAATAATTCATAGGCAAAGTACTAGATCCTTTAATACTGGATCTACCTGTTTCAGAGAGTAACATCCCTACTTAGAGGAGGAGAAGACCAAGTACAGGATCAGTTGACAGAGCACACACCTGAAATGGATCCATTCTGAGACCTAGGTGGACCTGGTATGCATGGTGCAGCCATGCAGAACGTTGACTGATCTCTTTAAAAATATAACTGAGTATTTTATTCCAAATAAGCATCATCTATAGGAAACTAGTCCCCCAAAGTGCACAATACATGCCATTGTTGATGGAAACACTGTTGGAATTCCTCTTTTTAGAACTGCCTATTTTACAGCTGCATTTCTCAAAGTATGTGTGTATTAATTCAAAATGCTTGTTAAAGAACACAGATTCCTGATCCTCACCTTGGACTGCCTGAGCCAGAATTCCAGAGAGTAGGCTGGGATATACTGTGTTATTTAATCTAGCCTCCTTAGATGATACTAAAGCACATTCTGAAGTCAAAATCACTACTTGCTTTTTGAGAGTGGATATCATTTAGGCCAACAGGCATCCATTACTGAGCCAAACCAGTAGACTGGGTAAGTGACCTAAATAGGAAATACATTTAAAACAAAAGGAAGGCATAATCACAAGATTTTCAACATGACTTCTGAGGGTATTTTAGAAGAGACATTTCCAAAATCCTCTGGGCAACAGGAATTAGCAAATGAAAGCAAAACTCTCCAAGATAACTGGTGGGAAGGGATCATGCTCATGTAATATATAGCTGGACCTACATATTCTCAAGTTCCATATGTACACACTCAACCAATTACAGATTGGAATATTTCAAAAAAAAATTCTACAGAGTTCCAAAAAGCAAGACTTGAATTTGCTGCACCCCAAGTACTATGCTGAATCCAAATGAGAGAAGTGAGGCATAGGGATATTAGGGAGTATAAGGCATCTAGATGTGATATAAAGTGTACAGAGGGTATATGTAGGTTATATACAAATACAGCACTATTTCATATAGGAAGCATACCTGCAGATTTGGGCATCAGTGGTGGATTTGGACCCCAGCCCCTGTAGACACTGATGTATTGAAATATGTAATGTGTTAAATTGCATGTACATATGTATTAAAATAAGATCTGTTTCATGACTGTATAGTCACATCTTGAACATGATTAAGTTACCAGCAATGTGATTGCTAAGATGGCTTTGGTCCTGATCAGTCTTTTCCATGACACTCACATGCTGTATTTCTACATATGTGAAGCCAACTTAAAGGCCATGGCTTCCTGCTAAGAGCCTATACAATATTCCATATTCATTTTTAGAGCACCCCTTAAATCAATTTTTCAAGTATTAGTAAAGTTCTCTTAAATAACTTAATGATAATGTAGTCAGAATTGTTGCATAAAATAAGGGACGATCAAAGCTGCATAAATGTTTAACTTTTAAAAAAATTATTACAGTACGAGACACACTGCCACTAATCTCCCTCAAAATACTCCCCCTTGCATCAAACACACTTATTCCATCATTCTTGCTGATTTCTGAAGCAGTTCTGGAAGTCCTCTTTCGTGGGTATCTTTATGAGTATGATAAAAAATAGGGTGAATGCGGCTGCTGAGTGCCAGCCAACGAAAAGGAGGCTCATAAAGACCTTATGGTTCTCATGTACTTTATTCCCTGGATCTGCCACAGTGCAACTTCTGGATCTTCCCAGAAGTCAAAATCACCAGGAAAGGTAAATGTTTTGCATTGATTCAAGACAATGAGGCAGCTGTGGCG